AGTAGTGCGGCGCTACTACTCCTCACCTCCCTCACCTGCACCGAGCGAGAAACGAAACAATACTGTCAATCATTGAATAAGTCATTTGGAGCGGCTGAATTAACGTGCATTGTGGGCGAGCTCAGATGCACAGCTGCTGAAAGACGGGCGTTCTGAGTCACCTGCATTGATCAAGGAGAAAGTGTTAAGAAATGAGACCAAATCGAGAACCTGACATGAAATTTCGCGCAAGGTTACTGAAGCAGCTGTGCACCTAAAAAAAAGATATAATGTTATGTTAAATTGGCTTTTGGGAGGTTTGAGAGGCTTTTAAAAAGGTACAATGTTTACAGCTGTATTCTTAAGATCAGTATGGGCTATTTGAGGTTTGACAAAAAAAAAATGCTGCCAGTTCCCTAGTTCAGACATTTTTTGGGGGGGTTCCAAATTTTGCTTCCGTCGGAAAACGTTAGTCTGATTCATCAGCCGGTTTCACTTCATGGAAACCTTCTGACCTCGCAGCGTTTGGATTCGTTCGCTCGACGGTAGGCGGGGACTTTTTTGTCAGATTTACTACCACGAACAGAACCCACCGAAAGTTGTCGTCGCGTGTTTCCAAACATCGTCTTGGTTTGTGGTGTAAGTGTAAATAGAGCCTACAGGGTTCCTTACGTAGGAAAAAAATAACAAAAAAAAACAACTGAAAATGATGCAGTATATATGAATAATAAAAAAAAAATACAGGGAACTGAAAAACAGTAACAAAGTTCTGCAGAATCTGTGAGTGAAGCACTAAACTCTTAACGTGATTCGTCAGTCGGTTTCACTTCGTAGAAACCATCTGACCTCACAGCGTTAGAATTCGCTTCACGGTAGGCAGGTACTTTTTTTATTGAACCAATCGTTGCTATTTGGTCGTGACGTATGTAATGTTCCACTAACGGGGTTAACTGGTATATTCAGCTTTTCCCAAATCCCGTAGGAAGAAGGACAATAACGTCTTTCCCCTTGATAAACTTCACCAAACATTCTCTTTGTTCTGGCTTTAAATCCTCGATCTCGGGAATCGTTGCCAACACAGAATATATGTCTCTTCACTGATTGGTTGGTGCTCGAACTCGCACTTCCGGGGTTTTTGCGAACCGTGTAGTGTATTCTGATTCCTGACCTAGTCACTGGAGCAAAATGAAATTGAGCGGAGACACTAGGTGGCGCCAGCCTGGCTAGGAAATCGTGGCATCACGTTAAGGAATTCTATAACTGTTACCTAGCAAACATGTACTACACTGGGCCAAAACTCCTAATGTGCACAGAGATTGTTATTTGACAAAAACAGTTACAAGAAAATGGCAGACATGTTGAAATGAAGTGAAATTGCTTCAAAACTATCGAAAACTAAACTAAAAGGTGCATTGTCAACCAATTTTTGTTCTGGTGTTTCTATGGATATGTCATTGTTCTACTTCGAATGTTCAACAGTGTGACATTAAACAACTCTACCTTACATTTATTCAGTTACAGGCGGGAAAAAAAGGCATTCTGACTGTGAGCGTGGTTGCCTATCCACAGATCTGACCTGTAACTTAGGCTACGTTCAGACTGCAGGGCTTAACGCTCAATTCCGATTTTTTTGTGAAATCCAATGTTTTTGCGAGGTCGTTCACTTTCCAATTAAATGTGACTTGTATGTGACTCCAGTGTGAACATTAAACGGCCCAAAAGTGTCCCGCATGTGCACTGGAGACAGGACGACGTTAACCTCAGCGAGCGTCTCTGTGTTTACGGAAGTTATACAAACATGGACGCAGCATCGAGCACCTGGAGATTTTAAAGTTCCTCTCGTACCGGAGCCAGAACATGAACAACTTACTTGTTTTAAAGAGGAGATTGAGAAGGAGAAGGACGAGGTTTTTGGTCGTGGTGTTTTGTGGGACAGCGGCAGCAACGTCTGTAGAAAGGAACGTGTGGATGTGGAGACGGAGCCAAGAGTGGTGAGTGGTGATGTGCTTCACTTCAGTGACATGGAGTTCATTAACAATTTTCACCTACTTCAGTGCAGAATAGTGACATTTGTGTCTTGTTGATAACGTGTAGGTCAGATGAATGCGCTTTGGCCGTTCAGATTGAAGTCACATGTCAAAAGATCAGATATGTATCAGTTTCAGGAGCACATATCCAAGTGTCCTGGGTCACATTTGAAAAAATCAGATCTGTGTCATTAAAAGACCGGATACAGGAACATAGAGGCCAAAAAATTTGGGTCACTTCAGGCTGCAGTCTGAACGCAGCCTTATTCTGGTTTGGACTTCATGGTTATAGAAAGGCTTAATGCCATACTATGAAACATTCCAGACAAAGCAATAACATCATGGAGAAAAGCTTTTGATGGACCCTCCACCATAAAAGGTACACAATGCATCTTTAAGCAGTGGATCTTTTTGAATGGTTGTATTTCTCTGTATTGGACCTTTTATAAGAGCACATGGTTCAACTACTATTTTATTGAGTAAATGCCATTTTATTTATGAAAACTGCATGTTTATAGTGACTTTGAAATCAAAATCGTTTATGAGCAGCAAGTCTCTTCCACAGTATTGAAACATTTTCTGCGAGTGATGATGTAAAATAAGACTGTCTTCTGCTGAACAGGCTGCTTCAAATATGCACAAAAGGCTAATCCTCCAGCTTGGTACTTTTCTCACCATGACAAACCAACAAAGCATAAAGCCGAACATCTGGAGAAAGTCCCCAAGGCAATGCACTGATGCCGCCCACTGCTCCTGACAGGTTGCCATAGTGATTTTTTAAAGATGGGTCAAATGTAGATGGGAAATCTCTGGGTTTCAGATGACACCACATTCAACAGGACAATATTCTGTAGTGCAGTCAGAGAAAGCTACAATAAATACTGTTAAAATGATGATTTCTGTTTTAACCACTGTTGAACAAGTGACTTCAAAACTGTAATGTGTTATTTATGACTTGTTACTGTTTCAAAGTATTTCATTACAATATTACTGTATTGAAAATGTAAAACATTACACGACTATTACAGCACTTTAAGCGACTCTCACCAAAATAACAATCAGCGAGCGAAGATGACGAACTTTTACACCGTATATGGACTGAACCAGAACTAAACCAGGTCTAAACCAGGACTGAACCAAGGACTGAACCAGGATTAAACCAGGTCTAAATCAAGTCTAAACCAGGACTAAACCAGGATTAAACCAGGATTAAACCAGGACTAAACCAGGACTAAACCAGGACTAAACCAGGACTAAACCAGGACTAAACCAGGACTAAACCAGAACTAAACCAGGACTAAACCGAGGACTAAACCAGAACTAAACCAGGACTAAACCAGGACTAAACCAGGACTAAACCAGGACTAAACCAGAACTAAACCAGGACTAAACCAGAACTAAACCAGGTCTAAACCAGAACTAAACCAGGACTAAACCAGGTCTAAACCAGGTCTAAATCAGGTCTAAACCAGGACTAAACCAGGTCTAAACCAGTAATAAACCAGGACTAAACCAGGATGAAACCAAGTCTAAACCAGAACTAAACCAGAGCTGAACCAGGACTAAACCAGAACTAAATCAGGTCTAAACCAGGACTGAACCAAGGACTGAACCAGGATTAAACCAGGTCTAAATCAAGTCTAAACCAGGACTAAACCAGGATTAAACCAGAACTAAACCAGGACTAAACCAGGACTAAACCGAGGACTAAACCAGGACTAAACCAGGACTAAACCAGAACTAAACCAGAACTAAACCAGGACTAAACCAGGACTAAACCAGGTCTAAACCAGAACGAAACCAGGTCTAAATCAGGTCTAAACCAGAATTAACCAGGACTAAACCAGGTCTAAACCAGGACTAAACCAGGTCTAAACCAGGAATAAACCAGGACTAAACCAGGATTAAACCAAGTCTAAACCCGAACTAAACCAGAGCTGAACCAGGACTAAACCAGAACTAAATCAGGACTAAACCAAGGACTAAACCAAGGACTAAACCAGGATTAAACCAGGTCTAAACCAGAACTAAACCAGAACTAAACCAGAGCTGAACCAGGTCTAAACCAGGTCTAAACAAGGACTAAACCAGAACTGAGCCTGGTCGAAACCAGGTCTAACCTTGGTCTAGGCCTGTCCCTGAAAGAACCCCAAGCCCGTGGAGCAGGGTGTGTACAAAGTGCGTTCCCGACATTCATAACCGTAAAAGTGGCGTTTCACCACTGCTGATGTCGAGGTGATTTTTAGGGAATTTGTATGAAGAAAAACGAAAAACCCACCCCTTCAATCCAGGTTCAAAAAGCATTGTAACGCTGACATTTATACTGACATTTGGACCAAGTAAAATATTAATTTTTTTCCCTGTAATGCCTTATATTACTGCGTCACAGCAAAAAGCAATGGATTAATGTAATTTGTTACTTCTATAACACTTTACTCCCAACACTGGTTTTAATCCAGTCACAAACCGATATGATCAGGTGCAACTTCTGTGAAATTAGCTTTTGGGTATGTCATGGCAAAGTACAATGTCATCAACAGGGAAAAATATCTCTGCAAACTACCCATATCCCTCTGGATTTGCTCCGGAATGACGGCTGTTCAGCTCAGTTTCCAGAGCAATCAACTTTCAAAACAAATCCTACATTTTGGAACGTCTAAAGTCCTCAAAATGGCTCCTTTACACAGGAAACTGAAACATCCATCAGTGTGTTGACAATAACCACGCTGCTCATGTTTGATTTCAAAATGGTTCACTGCCAAATATCACCAGCAGGGGGCCTCACACAAATAACTCAAAGGAAAGTCCAACAATATTTCAAAAGCAACAACAGCTAAATATATTTCCATGAATATGCATAAAACAGACTCCACACAAACGAACATTTAACTGATGTAAAACTAAGACAACTATTGACCACAGGTTCTATCCACCAAACCAAGTAATAAGAGAAACACATGAAAACAATAATGGGATTTTGGAAAGCGCTCTTACTGGTGGTGTTGTACTTGACTCCGTTGATGTACTCGGGGCACGGTCGCTCCACGATCCTCCCGACGCCGCTGCGGGGCCAACACGTGCCGATCTCGTCCGTGGTGGCGTTGCAGTACAGACCTGAAAACAAAATCACGGAGTCATTTCAACTCAGAGACACTCAAACACGCAAAGATCAAGGATTTGTAGTATGAGTTTGGAAATGATGAGAGGATGAGGAAGAGAGAAGGGGACGGTGAGAGGATGAGGAAAGCAAAGGGATGATGAAAGGATGAGGAAAGTGAAGCGGACGATGGCAGAGAGAAGGGGAAGATGAGAGGATGAGGAGAGAGAAGGAGACAATGAGGATGAAGGGGATGATGAGAGGATGAGGAAAGCGAAGGGACGATGAGAGGATGAGGAGAGTAAAGGGACGATGAGAGGATGAGGAGAGTGAAGGAGACGAGGAGAGGATGAGGAGAGTGAAGGAGACAATGAGGATGAAGGGGATGATGAGAGGATGAGGAAAGGGAAGGGACGATGAGCGGATGAAGGAGCGTGAAGGAGATGATGAGAGAATGAGGAGATTGAAGGGGACGATGAAAGGATGAGGAAAGCAAAGGGACGATGAGAGGATGAGGAGAGAGGAGGAGACAATGAGAGGATGAAGGGGACGATGAGAGGATGAGGAGTGAGGGGGACAATGAGAGGGTGAGGAAAGCGAAGGGATGATGAGAGGATGAGGAGAGTGAAGGAGATGATGAGAGGATGAGGAGAGTGAAGGAGATGATGAGAGGATGAGGTGAGAGAAGGGACGATGAGAGGATGAGGAGAAGCAATGCAAAGGGATGACGAGAGGAGAAGGAGAGAGAAGGGGACAATGAAAAGATGAAGGGGACGAAGAGAAAAGTGAAGGGATGATGAGAGGATGAGGAGAGTGAAGGGATGATGAGAGGATGAGGAGAGAGAAGGGATGATGAGAGGATGAGGAGAGAGAAGGGGATGATGAGAGGATGAGGAGAGAGAAGGGGATGATGAGAGGATGAGGAGAGAGAAGGGGATGATGACAGGATGAGGAGAGAGAAGGGGATGAGATGAGGATGAGGAGAGAGAGAGGGGATGATGACAGGATGAGGAGAGAGAAGGGGATGATGAGAGGATGAGGAGAGAGAAGGGATGATGACAGGATGAGGAGAGAGAAGGGATGATGACAGGATGAGGAGAGAGAAGGGATGATGACAGGATGAGGAGAGAGAAGGGGATGATGACAGGATGAGGAGAGAGAAGGGATGATGACAGGATGAGGAGAGAGAAGGGATGATGACAGGATGAGGAGAGAGAAGGGGATGATGAGAGGATGAGGAGAGTGAAGGAGACATGAGAGGATGAGAGAGAAGGGATGATGACAGGATGAGGAGAGAAGGATGATGACAGGATGAGGAGAGAGAAGGGATGATGACAGGATGAGGAGAGAGAAGGGATGATGAGAGATGAGGAGAGAGAAGGGATGATGAGAGAGAGATGAGGAGAGAGAGAAGGGATGATGACAGGATGAGGAGAGAGAAGGGGATGATGAGAGATGAGAAGGTGAGGAGACATGAGAGATGAGGAGATTGAAGGGATGATGACAGGATGAGGAGAGAGAAGGGATGATGACAGGATGAGGAGAAGAGAAGGGATGATGACGGATGAGGAGAGAGAAGGGATGATGACAGGATGAGGAGAGAGAAGGGATGATGACAGGATGAGGAGAGAGAAGGGATGATGACAGGATGAGGAGAGAGAAGGGATGATGACAGGATGAGGAGAGAGAAGGGATGATGAGAGGATGAGGAGAGAGAAAGGGATGATGACAGGATGAGGAGAGAGAAGGGGATGATGAGAGGATGAGGAGAGAGAAGGGGATGATGAGAGGATGAGGAGAGAGAAGGGGATGATGAGAGGATGAGGAGAGAGAAGGGATGATGAGGATGAGGAGAGAGAAGGGGATGATGAGAGGATGAGGAGAGAGAAGGGGATGATGAGAGGATGAGGAGAGGAGAGAGGAGATGATGAGAGGATGAGGAGAGAGAAGGGATGATGAGAGAAAAAGCTCTGTTCTAACTTGAGATGATCCAAACAGCAGCATCAGTTTGTAGCGTGTCTCTCAAATGTTGAAGACATTTATTCTCAAATTGTCGTAATGTTCAGAACAAAATCTGTAACAGTACTCTTACTCGAGTAAAAGTTTCGGTTCCTCTTTCCAATGTAAGTAACTCTAGATGTGATAAAAGTTTTATGTTGACAATATTAAATGACTTCAAACATTTTGTATAACTCGCGTGTTGTCTGTCCTTTGAAAATGTACCAGATTTTACTACATTTTGGTTTAAATGTATTTCAAATTATAAATCAGATGTTACGTCCAGTTACTCACCTGAACTGTACTTTTCCATCATATTGTTATGGTCTTTGGTCACTTTGTATCATTTTGACTTGCCTACAAACTTGATTACAAGGAGTTTCAGAACACAAAGGTCTTAGTCTGAATGTAAAACAGATTATTGCTGTATGAAAAACATATTATTTATTGTACAAATGTCCTAATAGACAAGAAGAAGTACAGTACTGTGATGGACCTGCTCACACACACACATGTCCAGATGTAGTGATTTGTGTTTTGAATCAGATTCACAGTCAGAATGTCACACTGATCCATCTGCTCCTTATCGAAGTCACATATAAAATTGTTCTTATTACACAGTCTCCTCACTACGGCATGCACACTTAAATGCCAGCATTTCATTGGCAACTAACACAACATTGTGAAAGTGTAAACGTTTGACTCTTGAGCTTTGATATGAGCCACGTGTGTCAGAATGAGGCTTTGTTCAGTTTGCGCTTTAATCAGCGGCTGATCCAGAGCAGAACACGTGCAAATGAAGACGCCAAAGAAGAGTAAAAGTCGAGCTCTAAACTTGAAACCCGGCAGGGGCAGTGTGCTCAAAAAGATGAAGGTTTGACACGAGGAGCGTGCACGGAGCGCGCACGCACAGACTCAAAGCACGCAGCACGCACACAACATAAAGAACTCTCCTCACCTTCTGCGCTCAGCAGAGCCAAAGACGCGTTCTCCAAAACCGAGTCCTGAAAAGCGTCCAACAAACTGCAATTAAGGTCCCCGAGCTCAGCGAAGATGATGTGGTAAATCGTGGCGTCCATGGTGCCGCTCGCGCGCGGATAATCCCGGTCCGAGGAGAAGGGGCGCGTGCTGTGGCGGCGGCTGGAGTGAAGTGGAGCAGCGCTGATGAGAGCAGAGGCTCCAGGAGCGGAGGACGGGAGGAGGAGAGAGGGGAGAGGAGGAGGAGGAGAGAGGAGAGGAAGAGGAGAGAGGGTAGAGCTGTGTGTGCTCCCGCTGTGCGCCACGTCTGACCAATCACAGCGCGCTCTGGCACACGTGCGCAGCGGCAGCGGCTCCAATGCGCTGACGGACTGTGACACGGAGCTCGTGACCACATCACGGACTCAGTCACTGTGACGAGTCCCACCTGCCACCGCGGGTTAGCGCGAGGAGAGCGCGCCCCAGCTCCACGGACACGGACACGTTTGGAGTCAGAGGCGCGCTGAGCGGAGAGTCAACAAACCCGGACCATGCGCACAAACCCGGGCCATGCGCACAAACCCGGACCATGCGCACAAACCCGGTCCACGCGCACAAACCCGGTCCACGCGCACAAACCCAGGCCTTCCGCTCAAACCCGGGCCATGTGTCCTTCTTTGCTCCTCCAGCTTTTACACGAGGCGGTCACGGAGGAGCTTCTCTTCCAAAACGTGTGAGCAGGACTCGACTAAATGAACGTATTATGATGCAGCACACAAGCTTCATGAGCAAAGTGTCATTTAATAAGAATATGATTGTACTCAATTTATCTCACACACTATATGTATGAGTTGTCATTGGTTACCCTCCCTGACAGACCTGCTTTTGGGCTAAACACCACACCCTTCTATTAGGATAATTGTTCAAATGTAATTTCAAAAGTACTTTGCCTCTGTTTTGATCAGTATATCAGCTGTATTCAGGAGCAGAGGCGAGCACTCCCCCCTCACAGTGAGAATATTCTAGGTCTATAACTCCTGAGCCATGCGAGGCCTCTTTGTGATTCTCCAGTTTCCACATTAACCTAAACTAGACTAATCCTCCAGCCAAGATGGTCCTGAGCAAAACCAAAAACTAAACATCTGGAGATGGGTCTGTGGGCGCAGCAGAACCCAGACATGTTCCCTTACGTTACCTCATGTTACCTTCTGCAGCGGTCACCGTCACCTCACTGAATGTACACATCTAAAATAAAAACTTTCTTCTTTTATTTTACACCAATAAAACTTTGAACCGCCTGTGGGAGGATATGGCACAGCACTTTTAGAACATACATTATTCACTCTGGCACTTACCATGTTGCTAAACTGGTCTATACATTTTGAGACATTAATTTTTCATCACGTGCCCTTTTATATACTGTGCCATTTCCAGATTTGGACTGTCGCTTTTCAAATCTCAACCCCGCTATGGCATCTTGTGGTGAACCATGAAGCTCCTCTGCGTTTTTTAAAATCCTTACGCCTTCAGAATATAGGTCCTTGTTTAGCATCAGGACTCTCATTAAACAGGATTAGATTTCTGACCAGGACCTTTTCCGTCTTATGTTATCGCTGCATGTACGAGTTGCACCGGGACTTGCTTCTCAAAACACCATTCAGATGAAAACTGGAGCCAATGAACAACTCCAGTGAACAACGCTATTAATAGTCCACTCTCTCCAAAAGTTACTTAATGCTCCCACAATTTATACACTTTGCAAACATGTATCCAGTGTTTTTTAACCAGTGTTGGGAAGGTGACTTTTAAAATGTATTCCCCTACAGATTACAGATTACATACACCAAAATGTAGTTTGTAACGTAATCCATTAAATGACTTAAAGTGAGTAATGTAATCTGAATACTTTGGATTACTTGATATTGTTATACTTTTTAAAACTACATGAATGTACCAATCACATTAGGGCTGGGTATCATTAAGGAGTTGCCGATACGATACATACCTCGATACACAGGCCACGATACCATACATATCTCGATACAGTGCACTTTTGATTCGATATGATATATTTCAAATTGATTCGATACGGTTCAATAAAAAATAAAGGCTAAATTGTGGCTGTGATACTAAAAGTCTTTGTTAAACCACTTCTTGTGAAAAGTTCATATGAAACACAAACATTTTAATCATCAAAACAGTAAAAATGTCAAATGTGTCGCATAAATGAGTTTCCTTTCACTCCACAAGCAACAAAAATGTAGCACCGCAACAAAATAATTTAGTAAAACACACCTAAAAATACTCTTCGTGAAATGTCGATACAGCAGCCCACGATATCGATACTGTATCATCACATTAAATGATATGATATATCGATATTCCGATATTTTTGCACACTCCTAAACCACATCCTGAAAATTCTTGTTTGTTCTCTTCAAATTGTCTGTTGAGCCCAAGTCTCCATGAACAGACAATTGTTTACTGTACAAAAGCAAAGACAAAAGCAAAAAATAATAAAAAGACCAATCTTTCCTTAACCAGATTCAAAATATTATTGATAGAGAAATGCTTTTTATATGAGATCACTGCTGCCTTAAATTATGTTCACCTACTGTTAGTGTTATATTGTTTATTAAAAAATAAATAAATAAATAAATCACTTTCAGTACAAACATAAAAGCGCCAGTAAAAATCAATAATATTGAATGTTTTTTACTCAAAATGATGCAAAATCAGATTATTAAGAATGATGATTATTAACAACCTCGTCCACTGTGAGTGACGCCGCCAACGTGAACAGGACATTTACATCGCTCTTATTGTCGCCTTCTGTTTGGGTTTCTTTCAATGAGTGGAATTATCAAAATAAAATGTACAAAAATGGGATACAGGAAAATACCGCCGTGTAATCAATTTTTTTCAACAAAGTAACTGTAATCCAATTACCACTCATTGAAACTGTAACTGTAACTGAATACAGTTACTCATAATTTGTACTCTGATTACATAACTCCAGTACATGTAATCTGTTACTCCCCAACACTGTTTCTAACTAAATGTACTTTTACTGTGTTATAATCTTGTTCCCTCATCATATACTGTTGTATTTAGCTGCATTCACTCTTGTTTGATGATTCCTGTTTAGAAAATCTGTGTCCTCTGAGCTTTAAAAAACCTGCTGTTTTGAATTTCCCAGGATTGTTACATCACAGGTAAAAATCCAGAAAATGTTATTTTTAGTCCATAAATTATTAGCAGATTCGTAAGCATTTCTGTCGCTGTTACGACCCAGCTCTGCAGAGACAGTAACAAAAGCACCAAGATGGATAATGGAATAAATGAAATAATGTTTAATTAACAGGAAAATAAAAGATAAATTTACAAAACAGACTAAAATATAAAGAAAATTAACTAAACTAAGAAACAAAACAACAGAATTAACATACAAGTTTTGAGCCAAAAAACAGGTCACACAGGCTTACACAAAAACGAGTGATTAAACTAAAGGACACACAAAACTAAAACACAAAAGCCCCAAAGTAAAACCAGAAAAAACAGAATCGAGTGACCAAATTTAAAAAAGGCACAAAACAGAACTAAACAAAACAAGAGTCTCAACAAAACATAGAAAGTTAGGCATGTACTAGTACAAAACAAGTGACAAGGTGTCTATTGTCTGAAGATAGCCATCATTTTAAAGGTGCACTGTGTAACATTTCTTGGGTGTCTCCATGGAAACGTTATTGCCTCGTCTAGAGTGTTCCAAGGAATAGATGAAAGTTACAGCATCTATCACAAGGAAGACAAGCAGGTTACCTCAGAGGTAAAACTCAGACCTGTGTACTCTGAGTACACACTCCTGGGTCGGAAGGAGCACACACAAAAATGCAGGGAATATTTTGGGTTGGGGTCAGGTTCGGCCTGTAGGCTTCGTGTCATGCACAGACTCGGCCAAAGAGTTTTCTCTCTCAGGTTCACTCGTTATTTCATCTTTCTGTGTTGGGTCAGAGCGATAGACCTACACAAGTCTATGGTCACGACACAGACAGTGGGAGACACTGCACTGCACCGGGAAAGTGCACATGCTCATGCACAAGAGAAAATGTGTAACATTGTTGAGAATAATGAGTGGAATAAACAGCTCTTCTCCATGTTTTGGCTAACAACTTAAATGCAAAAATCTGAATGTAATTCTTTTATAAACATGCATTTTGTGAAGATTTGTGGATCAAACAGCTCAACACACACCTCAAACTCTCTTCACTTCTGATCCTCTCTAAGAGTGTCGCTTTTTCCCCCATGTCTCCAGAGTTTGTGGAGAGTGTACGGCAGATAAGCAAAGCACTGCGCTTAGTGGGAGTTTTATAAATCCCGGGGTTGGCGTAAAGAGCGCCTACACAATGCTTAGTGCTTAAGTGAGCTTTATAAATGAGGCTCCAGATCTGTGGAGATCTGTGCCCCTATTCACAGAAGGAAGGATTGTATTTTTAAGCAACAGAAACATCCGTAATGAATAAATGTTGCATGAATAAGTTTCATGTCATACCATGGACCATTCCAGGCAACACAATAACATCTCCATGGAGACAAGCAGGTGGCGGACACTGTCAGGAAAGTTGTGCAGTACAAGAAATCACAAGGTGGAGTGTTTTCTGTTGGACAGAGGAATGAAGCCTAAATGTGCAGGGTTTGTGTGATAAACGTGGGAATGAAGCAAAACACAACTGAAGGTCTATTTGTGATGAGGAAACTACATTAGAACATAGATCAGAAAATAACCTAATATGGGCCCTATATAATAAAAATATATATATACTTTTAAAAAGTAATGATAAAAAAAAAAAAAAACACAAAGTTTTTTTTTTTTTTTTTATATATATATATAGCACTTTTCCCATACATATGTCACAAAGACACTTTACAGAGCATTATTCATTCATTCCACACCCGGTGGTGGTAAGATACTGTTGTAGCCACAGCTGCCCTGGGACAGACTGACTGAAGCGTGGCTGCCATGCCAATTGGTGCCATCGGTCCCTCTGACCACCACCATCACTCACGTACACACCACTTTCATACTAGGCAATGTGGGTGAAGTGTCTTGCCTAAGGACACAATGCCATTTTTTTACGACTGGCACCCCCCTGTGGCACCTGATTTTCCCAGTTTCTCCCATCCAA